ATGTTCTTGGTGTCTCTTTTTGGAATTTGTCCAGACTCCTCCCCCGCCCCCCGCCATTTTTTTTTAGACAGAACAAGACTGTCGCCAGGCTGGAGTGCAATGGCAAGATCTCGGCTCACTGCAACCTCTGTCTTCCAGGTTCAAGTGATTCCCCTGCCTCAGCCTCCCGAGTAGCTGGGACTACAGGCGCACGCCACCACGCCTGGCTATTTTTTTGTATTTACTTTAGTAGAGACGGGGTTTCACCATGTTGTTCAGGCTGGTCTTGAACTCCTGACCTCATGATCCACCTGCCTCGGCCTCCCAAAGTGTTGAGATTACAGGCATGGGCCACCGTGCCCGGCCGATTTCCTCTTCTTATAAGGATGCCAGTCACACACATCAGGGCTCACCCAAATGACCTCCTTTTAACTTAATTTCCTGAGAGATCTTATCTCCAAATACAGTCACATTCTGAGGTCCTGGGGTTACTACTTCAACATAGGAATTTTGGGGGAACTCAATTCAGTCCACGACACCTACTTGGTCAAGTTTATTTGCAGGCTGGGCACGGTGGCTCACGCATGTCATCCCAGCACCTTTGGAGGCCAAGGTGGGAGGATCGCTTGAGCCTAGGAGTTCAAGACCAACCTGGGCAACATAGCAAGCAAAACCCCGTCCCTACAAAAAAATCACCAAAAAAATTTATTTGTGACCCCCAAATCAATACTTGCAGAGTTTTCCTGGTCATTCACTGATGCATGCAGTGCCAAGACATCTGTCTCCTTACACATGTTCCTGGCTGAGGGTGAATAAGGCAACACTATGCCCTCTTGTTTCAGCCTCCTGCGGTCAGCCAGTGTCCTTTTTGAGGTCTATTGAGTGCCACGATTTTTGCATTTCGTGTGTTTTGTTTGTGATTTTGCTTTTTAAAACGTCCTCAAGCCCAGTGCTAAAGAGCTGTGGGCTTGGAGGCATTTTTAAGTCAGTGGATTAAGCACTTCAGTCAAAATGCAGAAATTGTCCAAACAGATTCAAAACATTATCTAATTATATGCTGTCTACGACAGACACTTTAGATTCAAAGACACAAATAGGTTGAAAGTAAAAGGTTTCTAAAAATATGCCATACAAATGAAAACCCAAAGACAGTTTTGGTTACTGTTTGGTTACTCTCCAGCTCTGCTTGGGGACATTTTAACAGCAAAATCACGAGCAAAACACGCAAAACTGCAAAAAGTAAGAAAAGCTGCAGCGCGTCTCACAGAGGAAACACGTGTTAGAGAAGCTTCCTTCAGGCTGAGCTACAGGGCTGCTGGCCGTGAGTTCAGTGTTAGTGAATCAACGTTTATAGATTCAGTAAAGCATCTTTTTTTTTTCCTTTTTTTGGAACGGAGTCTCATTCTGTTGCCCAGTCTGAGGTGCAATGGCACAAGCTCAGCTCACTGCAACCTCTGCCTCCCAGGTTCAAGCTTTTCTCCTGCCTCAGCCTCCCAAGTAGCTGGGATGACAGTCACACACCGTCGTGTCTGGCTAATTTTAGTTTGTTTTTTTTTTTTTTTTTTTTTAGACAGAGTCTTGCTCTGTCACCCAGGCTGGAGTGCAGTGGCCGGATCTCAGCTCACTGCAAGCTCTGCCTCCCGGGTTTACGCCATTCTCCTGCCTCAGCCTCCCGAGTAGCTGGGACTATAGGCGACTACCACCTCGCCCGGCTAGTTTTTTGTATTTTTTAGTAGAGACGGGGTTTCACCATGTTAGCCAGGATGGTCTTGATCGCCTGACCTCATGATCCGCCTGTCTCGGCCTCCCAAAGTGCTGGGATTATAGGCTTGAGCCACCGCGCCCGGCCAATTTTAGTATTTTTAGTAGAGATGGGGTTTCACCATTTTGGCCAGGCTGGTCTTGAACTCCTGACCTCAGGTGATCCACCGGCCTTGGCCTCCCATAGTGCTGGGATTACAGGCGTGAGCCACCATGCCTGGCCTCAGTAAAGCATCTTTACACAGAAACACTCATAAGACAGATGATGCATTGCTTGGCTGATGAGAACATTGGGACCAGAGGCTCACAGGACCCTAACCCTGTGTCTCCCCTGGGAGCCATGGCTCAGCAGTCCAGGCATCACTAATTCAGTACTCACCACAGCTTTATAGAATGTCCCTGCCTCGAGAATCAACTGCAATGAATGCAGCAATTGCTAGAACTTAGCCCAGCAAAAGGGGAGGCGTATTTTGTGCTGACGTGATTTTCACGGACAGTGAATCAGGAAGAGAACACTGACTTGTCTTTGGTTTCATTCTGGTTTTTCATTTTCCACAGACATATCCCTCGGTGCTCTGGCCATCACCTCCCCCTGCTCGCCGCCTGCACACTGTGGCTTTGAGGCAGCATTTTCAACACAAATTTCAGGAGGAGCCCACGTCCAGAGCAAAAGGGTCTTGTTTGCCCAGAATCCAGGCGAATGGCGCAGGGCTCTGGCCGGCGGATGCGCTGACCTCAGCCTGCATGTACTTGTTTATTTGTTTCTTGTTTGTCTTTACCCAGCTCCACAAAAGCAGGGACTTTGTTTAACACAGAGTTAAGAGATAGGACTGGACCAGTGTGGAACATTCAGCGAGGATGTGTGCACAGCAGGCTCCGGGCCAGTGAGTGGAGCCTGAAAGTAGCAGGCTTTGAGATGTGGCGGGGGTGATCCTGAATTATCCAGGTGGGCCAGGAGAGTAATTGCCAGATGGATGTGATGGGAGAGACCTCACTGCCCACCACTGCCTTTGAAGGTGGAGGAGGGGCCACGAGCCAAGAAACACAGGTGCCTCGAGACGATGGAGAAGGCAGGAAACAGATTCCTGTGAGTCTCCAGGAGAGGCCAGCCCTGCCAGTGTCTTGTTTTAAGTTGAATGAGATACATTTCAGACTTGTGGCCTCCAGAACTGTGAGATAAGACATTTGTGTTGTTTTAAGCCACTAATCTGTGATTGGTACATCAGCCACAAGACACTAATACAATGCCTAAACTCGGGGTTTGAAAGGGTCCCTAGGACCCTAGAGCCCTCCCTGTCCCCCTGGTCCAGGACTTCCTGCTTCTGTTGTGCAGGCTTAGGCCCTGGCTCACTCAGAAGGCCCCTGCAGGTCCGGCCAACCTTGTGGCAGAAGCCTTGACGTCCCACCACGGCCTCTGAGTTGCCAGGCCCTACGGCATGTGGTGAGGAGCACAACAGGTGTGAGTGCCTGGACCTCACTCTGCCCCGTGTCTGAAGGACCTTGTCCCATCCTAGGCGCCCAGAGCTGTGCAGTCCGTAGGACCAGACTGGTGCCCAGTCCCAGGCTGGTGCCTCAGCCACCTCGTCAGCCTGCAGTCCCCGCTGTTTGACTGACCATGTGCAGGGCCAGCTGTGAAGGACAGCACAGCTCCTCCCTCCCTGCCAAATGTCAGGGACACTAAAAACACTGCCCTCAGTGTTCTGATATTTAAATCATGTTTAGATGCAATGTTTAAAAAAATCAAAATGGGTCGGATGTGGTGGCTCATGCCTGTAATCCCATGACTTTGGGAGGCCGAAGTGGGTGGATCACCAGAGATCAGGAGTTCGAGACCAGCCTGGCCAACATGGTGAAACCTTATCTCTACTAAAAATATACAAATTAGCTGGGCGTAGTGGTGTGCGCCTGTAATCCCAGCTACTGGGGAGGCTGAGGCAGGAGAACTGTTTGAGCCTGAGAGGTAGAGGTTGTAGTCAGCCGAGATTGTGCCACTGCATTCCAGCCTGGGCGACAGAGTGAGACTCCATCTCAAAAATAAATAAATAAATAAATAAATAAATAAATAAATAAATAAAAATGAATGCAAAAAAATTGTGGTGGACAAACTGTCAACATTGTACATAAAGGCAGGATGAGGACAATGGCCTTCTCCTTTTGCTGCAAACTCCAGCATGGCTCCGCCCAGCACTGACCGCACGCCTGGCCTGGCTCGACCCTCCCCGGGGCCAAGCTGCATGCTCGCTTCCATCCCAGCGGCCTCTTCTTCCCCCTCCCTGTGCCCCAGGAATAGGCGGCCAGCAAAACGGGGCTGCCTGCTGCCTCACACAGACCCTGCCACTGCTTGGATGTTGACCCCCAGCCTGGAAAGGTGTCTTTAAGCCTCCTTCCCTTCTTCCAAGCCAACTGACCTGGGCATGCGGCTTAACTTTCTAAGCTGCTGTTTCCTGGTCTATGAAGCAGGAATGATGCTGGGACCTGCTTCACAGGGTGGCTCTGAGGACCCACAGGCAGAGGTCTGGTGTAGGCTTTTGGGGGAGGCACCCATCACTCCCCCAGCGTTTCCTACCTGCACCTTAATTTGGCACCTCAGGGAATCACTTCTCTGGAGTTGTAACCTTGCAGGGCAGAAGTTGTCATTTCAAGATTTTTTGGGATCCTGTGTTCCCAGACAGTGCTGTAAATGTAGGAGGAAGGGTCTGGTGCTGGGTGCTGCTTACGACAGAGGTGCCCCGTGGAGCACACCTTGGAGCCCCACTTTCAGCCCTGATCCCACCCGGGATGTGTCAGGTCTGATCCTCATACACTGGGGCGTCTGACCTTTTGTGGCCTTCTGAGCCCATGGGCTGGAGATGAATTTGCAAAGCCCGGGAGTGTCCTGTGTGCTTACTCCACACGCATGAATCTGTTAGAAGCTGAGGAGGAACTGGGAGGTCCAAAGAGGACGAAGCAACTTCCCACAGCCTGGACCGAACACTAGAAAAGCTAGCCCGGGAGAGGGGGCACAGCCTCTTCCCAGCCTGGCGGGGGGGATGTGGGGGGGGACCACGCTCCCCAGGGCAAGTTTACCCCAAAATATCAAAAGACTTAAAACTAGGAGTGAGCTGGGCGCAGTGGCTCACGACTGTAATCCTAGCACTTTGAGAGGCCAAGGCAGGTGGATCATCTGAGGTCAAGAGTTTGAGACCAACCTGGGTTTTCACATAGTGAAACCCCATCTCTACTAAAAATACAAAAAAAAAAAAAAAAAAAAATAGCCAGGTGTGGTGGCAGGCACCTGTAGTCCCAGCTACTCAGGAGGCTGAGGTGGGAGAATTGTTTGAACCTGGGAGGCAGAGGTTGCAGTGAGCTGAAACCTCTGCATGGTCTGGGTGCCAGATCTGGGCGCCACTCTGGGCGACAGAGCAAGACTCCATCTCAAAAACGAACAAACAAAACTGGGAGTGCCTGGACACTTAGTGAGAACTGGACAGGGGCCATGGGTTGAGGAGCAAAATAATCACCAGGATGTGCGGATAACAGGATCATGTGGGTGGCGGGACAGCATGGGTGGCAGGGACGTGGGGACATGTCGCCACCCTGACAGGAGCAGCCCAACCCAACAGCCACGGCAGGTCATGCCACAGAAGCTCGAGGCATTACAGGGGACGATGGCCATGGGGCTGGGCGTCCAGGGTGGGCCACAGAGGGAAGCTCACCACCTGGCGCTTTCATCTGCACACGGCTCAGCCCGTCTTCGTGCTGGAGGCCCGCAGACCGCTGGAGGACAAGCATGAAACTCAACAGGGCTCCCCCAGGCGCTGGAATTATGGCACCTTTCAGCTTCTTCTTCAGGAGTTTTTACAAGCATGCATACTTTTTATAAGTGGTGAGCGTAACGAGGTTCACAGAGTCACTCTGCTTTGGAAAACAGTGCATTCTTGCCTGGGCACAGTGAGACTGAGGACGACGTGTCTAACCCCTGTATCTAACAGGGGTGTGGGCTCTCTCTCCTCTGGTGACCATGAGGACCACCAGGTAGGACAAGGTGTGCAGAGAACTAGCATGGTCCCTGGCACGTAGCCCCTGCCCACAAACTGGGAGATGAGAAGTTCCATTGTTGCCCCAGGCGAGTATGGGGCACAGAGCTCCTCCTTGGGTTGTCTGCCCTCCCGGGAGCCCCAGGGTGCCCAGGCGGGCCTCAGCTGAGTCCAGGCCTCGGGGACAGTCCGTGCAGCCCCTCCCAGGGCTGGGGGCGGGCACTTGTCCCAGCCACATTTCTGCTGACTGAGCAGCCTTCTTCATGAGCTCATGCCCTTCCAGAGAAATCCCTTAATGCCTCCATTCTGCTGGTGGCATATATAGGGAGGGCTCAGCCCTAGCTCCACACTGCGCTGCCCAGAGGCCCCGCTGACTCCTTCCAGCCTCCAGGTCCCCGTGGTACCAAAGCTGAACATGGACGTGACCATCCAGCACCCCTGGTTCAAGCGCACTCTGGGGCCCTTCTACCCCAGTCGGCTTTTCGACCAGTTTTTCGGCGAGGGCCTTTTTGAGTACGACCTGCTGCCCTTCCTGTCGTCCACCATCAGCCCCTACTACCGCCAGTCCCTCTTCCGCACCGTGCTGGACTCCGGCATCTCTGAGGTAAGAGTGGCCCGTGGCGCTGGCCTCTCCTCGCTGCTCAGAGGGTGGTGGCCTCGGTGGGTGGAGAGTGTTGGACTCTGGTCTTGCTCCATCAGGCAGGTGGCCTCGCCCCACTTCATCCCCTTGCAGAGGCTGGGTGAGAGCCTGTGTCCCCACTGCAGCCACGCAGCAGAGCCTCCCCTGGCACTGGGGAGAGGTTGGATAAGGGAGCAGCCTGAACCCACCCTTGTTTTCCTCCATCAGCTCATGACCCACACGTGCTTTGTAAGGCCCTAGCCACATACTGGAAACCCCAAGAGCAACCCATCCAGGCATGTGTGGTGGCGAATCCAGGCATGTGTGGTGGCGAATGCCAGCTCCCGGGTTCCGCTGGTCTCCTGAGTCCTGGAGGCCTGGGAGCAGGTGGGGGTCATAGTCCTGAAAGCCAGAGAACAGGAGGTTCCTAGTATCTCCTCCCATGAGTTCGGCCTGCCCACGGCCAGCAAAACTTGTGGCAAGTTTACTCAGGTGCGCTGCCAAGGCCAAAAGGACAGGCAATGGGCCCCGCCAGCCTCCTCTCTGAGCCACGGGTGAGCGGTGCAGAGTCTGCAGTTCTGGAGAGCCTGAGTCCCACCCAGCACCTAAGAAACAGGGTCCTCCCCAGGGCTGCTGCAGTAGGCATCAATGCCAGGGCGCAAAATGCCTCAGGGAGCCGAGGCTGAGCCAGGGCAGTGAGAGGGAGTGTGTGGAAGTGCTTTTTGCAGAGGCAGCTGTGCAGGCTATCAGCAGGCTCCAGCTGCTTCTATACACAGCATGATGCCAAGGGCAGTGACCTCATTCCACAGGCTGAGTCCAGCCAGCCAGCCAAGCATCACTCACCAGACGATTCACCCTAATGGGCCAACCAATCCATAACAACCCCTCCTACCATAACCAGTAGCCAACTAGCACATAACCAGCCAACCGATCTATAACCAGCCACCTGACCATAGGCACAAACCAGCCGGCCCACCAGTAGCACCCAGCCCCTCAGCTGGCCTGAGGGTTTGGAGACAGGTCGAGGATTGTGCCTGTCCGTCCAGGAGACAGTCACAGGCCCCTGAAAGCTCCGCCCCACTTGGTGTGTGGGAGAAGAGGCCGGCAGGGGATCAAAGCGTCTCTGTTTCGATAACCGGGGCCCGCCCTGTCTCTGCCAGCCGCAGCAGGGACGGCACCCTCTGGGTAGCTCCACATAGCACGTTTGGGTTTCAGGTTCGATCCGACCGGGACAAGTTCGTCATCTTCCTGGATGTGAAGCACTTCTCCCCGGAGGACCTCACTGTGAAGGTGCAGGACGACTTTGTGGAGATCCACGGGAAGCACAACGAGCGCCAGGTGAGCCCAGGCACTGAGAGGTGGGAGAGGGGGGCGAGGTGGGAGAGGGGGGCGAGGTGGGTGTGGGGACAAGGGGGTCACGGCAGGCACAACCGGGCCTGCGCACCTGCACGAGGCCTTCAACCCTGGGAGAGGGACACTCTCTGGGGGCCCCCGAATCAGGCCTGGCTTTTCCCCGAGGGAGGGGCCATCCCACCTGAGCACAGCCAGCCCCTCCTAGTGACAGAGGTCACTGTTCCGAGTGAATGTGGCTCAGGGATCTAGGATAGGGTCCCTTCCCGGGTTGCTGCACCCAGCCGTCGCCAGCTCCATCCCTGTCACCTGGATGCCAGGGCGGTCTTTGAAAGAACCCCAGGAAGTGGGAGTGCCCCTGGTGGCTGCCTCCTAGCCAATGTACGTCTTCACATGAGCCCCACCTGAGGAAGGCTAGTCCCCAGCGGCATAGCTGCATCCGCTGGGAATGCTTTACATGCATTGACACCCTCGCATCACAGCAGCCCTTTGGGACCAGTGTCTTCATTATTCCAGGACACGGTTGGGGAACAAGGGGGTCCTCAGCCTGCTGGGTCGCACAGCTAGTACTGGGCAGGTGGGACGGGAGCTTCTCCCCACAGTCACCCTGATGCCCCGCTCTTGCTTGGGTGGAGGCCTCGGGTCTCCGTGGTGTGGAGGGAGCCGGGGCATGCAGGCCCTGGTGACCTACATCTCCTGGCGGAGCCGGGAAGAGCTCACAGGCTCTCACAGATGGACAGTGTCCTGCGGGGGCTGGAGAGCAGAAGAGCCGGAAGGTGGAACCCTTAGCCAAAGTCTGGGTTTCTTTTGGCCGGGGTCCTCTTTCAATGGCTGGAGAAGGCAGTGCTGGGGGGTGAACCCTGACCTCCTCATGTGCTGCCCCTCCCTCGCCTGGGCCGGGTAAAGCCCCTACTTAGCTCCAGCACAGCCTGGAAAATGCTTCTGAGCTCCCAGCTCTTGGTCTTTGCACTCAGTGGAGGAGGAGGTCGGCCCAGGGAGCTGAGTCTGTGGCTTAGGGCGTCCAGGGGACGTGGAAGCGCGTGGGTTGTCTGACCACATTAGGTGGGGCTGCAGAGAGACCTGGGCTGGAGCAGTCCTGCGGGGTCTGGAAGGGGAAGCCTGGCTGAGGTGCAGGGCCTGGTACGGAATGATCCTGCGATTTTGGAGTGAAGCCACGGAGCGTGAAGAGACAACCCCATGCAGGGAATAGCCCGGCAAGCGGCCACAAGGCCAGGCTGAGGTCCAGAGAAGCAGGGGCGCGAATCCATAAATCCCAGGGGACCTGGTCGTGGGCTGCGCTGGCTGCACCCGGCCCCTGTGAGAGCCCCTGCAGGCTGGCCACCTTCTGCGGTTGGTGGGCCTGGAGCAGCTTCTCTGGCATGGGGCGAGGCAGCCACCTGCACAGTGGCCCCTCTGACTGTGGCCCCCTACCCTCTCCAGGACGACCACGGCTACATTTCCCGTGAGTTCCACCGCCGCTACCGCCTGCCGTCCAACGTGGACCAGTCGGCCCTCTCTTGCTCCCTGTCGGCCGACGGCATGCTGACCTTCTCTGGCCCCAAGATCCAGACTGGCCTAGACGCCACCCACGAGCGAGCCATTCCCGTGGCGCGGGAGGAGAAGCCCAGCTCTGCTCCCTCGTCCTAAGCAGGCATCGCCTGGGCTGACTCCCCTGCAGCCCCAGCCCATCATCCGGGGAGCACCCTGAGGGCGGGGTGTCTGTCTTCCTTTGCTTCCCTGTTTTTCCTTTCCACCTTCTCACATGGAATGAGGGTTTGAGAGAGCAGCCAGGAGAGCTCAGGGTCTCAGGGTGTCCCAGACCCCGACACCGGCCAGTGGCGGAAGTGACCGCACCTCACACTCCTTTAGATAGAGCCTGGCTCCCCTGGGGTGCAGGCGCCTCAACTCTGCTGAGGGTCCGGAAGGAGGGGGTGACCTCCGGCCAGGTGCCTCCCGACACACCTGCAGCCTCCCTCCTCCGCGGGCCCTGCCCACACCTCCCGGGGCTTCTGTGCGTCTGGGCTCTCATGGCCTCTTCTCTCAGACCATCTTCCTCCAACCCCTCTATGTAGTGCCGCTCTTGGGGACAAGGATCGTCCATGAGAGCGCAGCCCGCGGCAGTCAATAAAGAGCAGGTGACACAAGCAACCCGCTGTCTGCTGGTGCTGTCTCCATGAGGGGCGGGAGGGGCACGAGGGCGCCCGGAGGGAAGGACAGCGGGTCTCCTGCTCGTGTGGGACCCGGCGGCCTCGGAGTGACGGGGTCGCCTGCGTCCCTTCCTTCTTCCGAGCTCAAGCGCCTCCCTCCACACTGGGCAGGAAGGAGAGGGTTTTGGAGGTAGAGCCTCTGATGGGAAAGGGACTGGGGAGCGCTTCCGAGAGCTGGGGGCGGCGAGGGACCTGGAAGGGGCTGCGGGGAATGGAGGGAGGCTGGGCTCCCTTCCCTGTCCGCACGGGCACCGGGGCGGACTCCTGCCCTGGCCTCCTTCTGTGGGGCCGTCCTGTTCTCTCGGGGGTCTGCGGGGCTGTCCTGCTGCCTTCGGTGTGGGCTTTAAGGGCACTCGTGCTCTTGAGGGTCTGGAACTGGGAGGCTTCCCCTGGGTAACCCATCGTGGCCCCGAGTTGGAGGCAGAAGCTCGCTCTGTCCCCTCCCGGGACCAGACACTGGGCGGCCACGCCGGACCCCACCAGACCCCATCACGGGGAGGGAGACTTGGCCTGGGGGGCCCTGGCTGCCTGCTGCGCTCACCGAGGGGGATCCGGGGGGCCAGAGGGGACCCCAGTGCCAGCAGATGCCACGGCGGGTGGGCCCTGCCAGCGCCCTCAGCCAAGTAAAGCGCCCTCGACCCTGGAGGCCGAAGGCACCGGGACCCTGTGGGCACCAGCAGGACGACCACCTACCGCCCCCGGGGCGAGAACCTACAGAGAACACTACACCGACCCCGGGCTTTCCAAAAGTCAGCAACAGGCATCAGAGTGGGCGGCCATTGTGACGCCCAGTGACAGCCCGTGCCACAGCCACCGAACCGCACACAACCACACACTCCACACACTCCACACTCCACACACTGCACACACCACACACCACACACTCCACACATCTGCACACACTGCACAATACCACATAATTCACACACCTACATAATCCATACTCACACACTCCACACAGCCTCCACACACCACACACTCACACACACACCACACACCTCACACCACACACCTACACAATCCACACACCACACACTCCACACAATCCACATACTCCACACACACCACACACCTAATAATAATAATACCACACACTCCACACTCACACCTACACACTCCACACACTCCACACACCACACACTCCACACACAACACACCACACACCTCATACCACACACTCTCACACCACACTCCACACACACACCACAATACTCCACACACCACACACTCCACACACCACACACTCCACACACACACCACACACTCCACACACACCACACACACTCCACACACACCACACACCACACACTCCACACACCACACACACACCACACACTCCACACACACCACACACTCCACACACCCACCACACACCACACACTCCACACACACAACACACACTCCACACACACACACCACACACTCCACACATACCACACACTCCACACACACAACACACACTCCACACATACCACACACTCCACAACACACAACACACACACGCACACATACCACACACTAATAATAATACAACACACACTCCATACACACAACACACACCCACACACACACCACACACTCCACACACACAACACAATACTCCACACATGACCACACACTCCACACATACCACACACCCACACACACACAACACACTCCACACATGCCTCACACATTCCCACACACACTTCACACACCACACACTCCACACACACCACACACCTTACACAATCCACACACCACATACCCACTCACACACACCACACACCCACACACCACACACCCACACACTCCACACACTCCACACACACCACACACTCCACACAATCCACACACCACACACTCCACACACACAACACACACTCCACACACACAACACACACCTCATACCACACACTCCACACACACAACACACACTCCACACATACCACACACTCCACACACACAACACACACTCCACACATACCACACACTCAACACATACTCTACACATACCACACACTAACACATACTTACACATACCACACATTCCACACACACACCACACACATCACACACTCCACACAATCCACACAGCACAAACTCCACACACACAGCACACACTCCACACACTCCACACACACACACCACATACTCCACACAATCCACACACCACACACACCACACATTCCACACACACCACATACTCCACACAGACACCACACACTCCATACAAACCACACACACACCACACACACCACACTCCACACACACCACACACACCAATATAATACACCACACACTCCACACAATCCACACACCACACATTCCACACACACCACATACTCCACACACACACACCACACACACCACACACTCCACACAATCCACACACCACACACTCCACACACCACACACACCACACACCACACACTCCACACACACACCACACACTCCACACACAAACCACACACACCACACACACTCCACACAATCCACATACTCCACACACTCCACACAATCCATATACTCCACACACCCCACACACCACACACTCCACACACTCCACACACACACACCACACACTCTACACACACACCACACACTCCACACACCACACTCCACACACTCCACACACACACCACACACCCACACACCACACACACCCACACACACACCACACACACCACACACACACACACCCCACACACACCACACACACACCACACACTCCACACACACACACCACACACTCCACGCACACACCACCTACAGACACAACACACACTCCACACATACCACACACTCACACATACTCACACACTCCACACAATACACACTCCACACATGTCACCACATTCCACACACACACTTCACACACCACACACTCCACACACACACCACACACCACACACACCACACACTCCACACACACACCACACACCTCACACACTCCACACACCACACACTCCACACACCACACATACCACACACACCACACACTCCACACACTCCACACACCACACCACACACACCACACACTCCACACACACACCACACACCTACACACACACCACACACTCCACACACCACACACACCCACACACACACCACACATTCCACACACACACACCACACACTCCACACACACACCACACACTCCACACACACACCACACACTCCACACACTCCACACATGACACACTTCCACACACACACCAAATACACCCACACACTCCATACACCACACACACACTACACCACCACATACTCCACACACACACTACATAAATTCACACACTTTACACACACACCACACACTCCACACACCCACACACTCCACACACACACCACACACTCACACAATATCACACACTCACACACACAACAATAATACTCCACACACACAACACACACTCCACATATACCACACACCTACACACACAACATACACTCCACAGACCACACAGACTCAACACATACTCTACACATACCACACATTCCCACACACACCACACATCACACACTCTACACAATCCACACAGCACAAACTCCACACACACAGAATAATACCCACACAATCCACACACTCCACACACACACACCACATACTACACACAATCCACACACCACAATACCACACATTTACACACACCACACATACCCACACACACCACACACTCCATACAAACCACACACACCACACACACCACACTCCACACACACCAGCACAAAATTACCACCACACACACCACACACCTACATAACTACACCCACACATTCCACACACACCACATACTCACACACACACACCACACACACCACACACTCCACACAATCCACACCCACCACACACCCCACACACACCACACACTCCACACCACACACACCACACACCACACACTCCACACACACACCACACACTCACACACACCACACACACCACACACACCACACACTCCACACACACACCACACACTCCACACACAAACCACACACACCACACACTTCCCCACAATCCACACACACCACACACACCACACATTCTCCACACACACCACACCCTCTACACACACCACACACTCCACACACACACCACACACTCCACACAATCCACACACCACACACTCCACACACACCACGCACTCCCCACACCACACACTCCACACAATCCACACACCACACACTCCACACACACCATGCACTCCACACAATCCACACATCACACACTCTACACACACACCACACACTCCATACAACCCACACACCATACACTCCACACACACACCACACACTCCACACACACCACATTCACATACACCACACACCCACACAATCCATACACCACACATTCCATACACACCACACACTCTACACATACCCCACACACTCCACAAAATCCACACACAATGCACTCCACACACACCACACACAATCCACACACCACACACTCCACACACACACCACACACTCCACACAATCCACACACCACACACTCCACACACACCACACTCCACACACACACCACACACCTACAATCCAGCACACCACACACTCCACACACACACATCACATATTCTCACATACCACACACCACACACTCCACCACACAAACACCACACACCCACAATAATACCACAAACCCACACACACACACACTCCACACACTCCACACAATCCACACACCCCACACATTCCACACACACCACACACTCCACACAGACACCACACACTCCACATACTCCACACACCACATACTCCACACACCACACACTCCACACAATCCACACACACACCACACACTCCACACACTCCCCACACACAACACACTCCACACACACCACACACTCCACACTCCACACACACCACACACCCTACACACACCACATACCACACACACACACCACACACACACACACTCCACACACAAACCACACACTCCACACACTCACCACACACTAC